CGGGTCCAGCTGTCACCTGGAGTTCGTTCTGCGAGACCGCCCAATACAGCACGTGGGATGCGTGGTGCCCAGGACTTCGGGCGCGTTTTGAGCCGATCGCGGCTTCAATTTCGGCGCGTCAGAAACTGCGCACTTGGCGCCAGCTCGGGTCAGTTCAAGACTATACCAGCGGTTTTCTCGCACTTTGCGAGCAGGTCGGCTACATGCACGAAGCGGAGCGGGTGGACCGTTACGTCGGAGGGCTGAAGCCGGACATCTCGCACGAGATAATGCTGCGCGGACTCTCTAACTTCAACGAGATTCTCGCGCTCGCCGAGAAGATCGACATTCTACGCCGACCGAGACTGGGGTCCTATTACGGACATCGTCCTCGGGGACCGACCGAGCATGCCACTGTACACGCCGTCGCAACGAATGCAGCTGCCGCACCGTTTAAGGGGCGCTGCTTTGCTTGCAACAGGCCGGGCCATCGCAAGAGCGAATGCCCAGAGGAGCTGAGGCGCCGAGGAGCAGAGCAGGGGAGGGAGTCTCAGAGGCAGGGAAACGCCAGCAGTCAGTAGAAGTTGGGCCAACTACTGACGAGACTGCCTGCTCGCCCAACCACACCGACCCTCACCGAGTCACAGTACCGATTCATGCCATCGATCGGGCTCGGATGAATAAGGAGGGTACAGCGATGGATTGCCCGGTACTAATCTACGGGAAAATACAGGGAGCAGCAGTGAAGATTTTTATTGACGGAGGAGCAAGTCACAGCTAAGTTAATACCGCAACCGCACGGAAATTACAGTTAACACTTAACCGATGCTTACCTGAGATAGATGCACGCTTAGTCGACGGCACGCCGCTGGCTATACGGGAAAAGGTGGAGAGAGTAAAGGTCCGCTGCGGAGGGAACTTCGGGTTTACACAGGAAATGCTCGCAACGACACTGGATGGGCACGACATTTTATTGGGACGTGATTGGCTGCGACGGTATAACCCACGAATTGACTGGACGACGGGTAGCTGCACAGTGCGAAGTAGTGGTAACTGGGTCGTCCTACCTCGCTAGCAGCCACCCGAGTCTTCGACGGTCCAGGTCAACGCCATCACGATGAAACGGGCTGTCGCTGCTGGAGCTGACGTGTACGCAGTGGATATCGCATTAGTGGAAAAAGAGGACCGGCCGAGTGATTTGCAGAAACTGTTGGCAGCCGTACCACCCGAACTACAGGCACTACTGAAACGGTTCCCGGGTATCTTTCCGGATGACTTACCGCAAGGGCTGCCACCTCAGCGGGCGCATGACCATAGGATCGAGTTAGAACCGGGGGCACAGCCAACTGTACAGCGCCAATTTCGACTGACACAGCCCGAGCTCGACGAGCTAAGGAAGCAGTTAGATTACCTGTTAGAGAAGCAGTTTATCCGACCGAGCTCGTCACCGTTCGCCGCACCGATACTGTTCACACCGAAAAAAGACGGGGGGTTTCGCATGTGCATCGACTACCGAGCGCTTAACAGGATAACAGTAAAATCACGATACCCCATCCCCCGCGCCGACGAACTGATTGACCAGCTGCGAACCGCACGAGTATTTTCGAAAATAGACTTACGGGGAGGTTACCATCAAATTCGGGTCGAACCATCGGACTGCGCCAAGACAGCATTTAGGACTAGGTACGGGTCATTCGAGTACACGGTGATGCCTTTCGGGCTGACCAACGCGCCTGCAACATTTCAGATGACCATGAACGAGGCGTTTAGGCCACTTTTAGATAAATGCGTCATAGTTTACCTCGACGACATCCTCGTTTACAGTCGGGACCAGCAGCAGCACTTAGTAGATCTCGAAGCAGTTTTTAAAATTTAGAGGCACATCGGTTACTCACCAAGGGCTCCAAGTGCGAGTTTTTTCGGGACAGGCTAGAGTTTTTAGGTCACGTCATTTCGGAGGCTGGGGTTGAGATAGACCCTAAGAAGCTGGATACCGTAAAAGCGTGGCATCCCCCGACGAACATCACGGAACTACAGAGTTTTTTAGGGTTTGTTAATTACGTTCGTCGGTTCGTCCCCGACATGGCACGCTTAACAGCCCCGCTCACTGATTTACTGCGTAAGGGGGTCCCTTTTACGTGGGGGGAGAAAGAGCATGCTGCCTTCTCTGCCCTGAAAAATGTTCTCTGTTCACCACCCGTCCTACGCATCGCTGACCCACACCGCCCCTTCGAAGTTGTTACAGACGCGAGTGACATCGCCATCGGAGCCGTACTGTTACAGGACTTCGGCAACGGCCTCCAACCCATCGCCTACGAATCACGCAAGCAACATCCACCTGAGCGAAATTACCCGATACACGACCGCGAAATGCTCGCGATCGTGCATGCATTCAAAGTGTGGCGTTGCTACTTGACCGGCGCAGACGTGACAGTACGGACAGACCATCGATCCCTACAGTACCTTCTCGCACAGCCCCACCTCAACCCACGACAGATTCGGTGGCTCGACTTCCTCGAATCGAATTTCCACTATACGGTCACATATAAAAAAGGAGCCTCGAATATCGCCGGCGCACTGACCCGCCCCACTGCCCAAATACATGCGATACTACTCGCCCAGACCAGCCCGTTACTGACAGGAGTATTTACCCACGGATATCAAACAGACCCATTCTTCACAGGAGGAAATTCACAGCAATTCGCAGCAGCCAAGGGAGCCTATTACGTAAAAGCTGGATCCGACCGCATCTGGGTACCAGGGTACACGCTACTACGGGAACTACTGTTACAGGAGGCACACGACGGAGTTACCTCGGGACATTTCGGAGTAGAAAAAACACGGCAGCAGCTGCAGCGGTACTATTACTGGCCGGAAATGTTGACCGACGTGCAACGACACGTGGCATCGTGTCCCACTTGCCAACTCATGAAGTCAACCAGGAAGCGGCCGGCAGGACAATTACAACCAATCCCACCTCCAGAGCGTGCTTGGCAGCAGGTGACGATGGACTTCGTCACGGGGTTACCGGCCGGGGCGAGTGGGAATGACGCGATCCTGGTCGTCGTCGATCGACTAACGAAAATGGCACATTTCGCAGCATGCACGAAATCAATCACAGCCGAGGAAACAGCCCGACTCTTCATCGCCACCGTCGTTCGACTGCACGGGATACCAGCGTGAATCATCAGCGACAGGGACACGAAGTTTACCAGTAATTTCTGGCGGAACCTGTGGCAGCAGTTCGGCACGCGACTTCAATTCAGTTCATCGTATCACCCCGAAACCGACGGACAGACAGAACGGACAAACCAGACTATGGAGCAACTCATTCGAGCCACGTGTGACGATCCAAACACGTGGGAGCAGCAGCTGCCTCTCATCGAGTTCGCATACAACAACGCGCCATCTGCCACGACCCAACAGTCGCCATTCTACTTGAATTACGGACATAACCCAACAGTACCCATGACACCAAACCCCGACAATCCCGTTCCACGCGCACAACAGTTCGCCGAGATTTTGCAAGCAGCACGGACCAGGGCAGCAGAAGCAATTAAAAAATCAAATATCATCGCTAAACGCAACGCCGATCGCCACCGCAGACCCGTCACTTATCAGTCCGACGACCTCGTTTTACTCGACACTCAGAACCTCCGCCTGCCCATCACTCCCAAACTCCGCCCTCGATACTGTGGGCCATTTCGAATCAGTCACATGATCACACCTGTCACCGCGCACCTCCTCCTTCCTGCTGACTGGTACGTCAGCCCCTCGTTCCACGTCAGCCTGCTTCGCCCTTACGTACCATCCACCAGCCAACTCCCACGACATCGACCATCCAGCATGTCACGACCACCAACCGAACCAGTCATCACCCCCGACAAAATCTTGAGCCACAGAGTTCGCGACCCTCGAGGGGCCCGAAAAGTTGAGTTTCTGATTCGCTGGAAAGATCGTACACCCACCGAGGACAACTGGGTTCCCCTGGACAGAATTGAAAACCACCCTGTCGTCACCGACTATCTACGCAGCCGAAACTTCAAAGACGCCCTCGCGCTTTCGTAAGGAGGACCTTTTAGGAGGGGGGGGTAGTGTAAGGAAATTCCCTTTTCCTTACTTCGCATCTCTGCTCAACGCGTACATCACTGTAGCACCTCAGTCAGCACCGTTACCACTCACAACCATCGCATCATTCATCATCCCGCCATTTTCGCACATCGCATCCCGACCTCACGGCTCGGCTGGTAACCCGCGCTCCGGGCCTACGCTTCGACACGTTCCCAACCTCGGTCCCAGGCTCGTCGCGCGACCATTACCGTTACCACTGTAGTTTCGCTATATATTCTTCGCTCATACCCTTCGCCCATTGGACTCTTGCTTCGATAGTGCAATTCTCACTCGTTCACTCAATTGCACTCGTAACAGCTTTTCAATGATATGCTCGGTTTTGATTGCTCGTTAATTTATTTCTTGTTTGTTCAACCTGACGTATGTATGACTGTGCAAGACATGGTCTGACTGACCACCGGGCCTTTAGGGAAAGCACATTCCCAGTTGACAGCGATGGATAAGCTACTACCATATGATAGGACAACAGCTTTCGTTTATTTTTCCTGTTGAACAAATCATGTTTATGCTGTCCCAATGGTTAAAACCGGGACTACCGGTATTACTGGCACTGGCAGCACTAACAGCCACAGCAGCATTGGAAGCAACAAGGGCTCCACATTTCTCCTCTCCCTCCCCTCCTTCGTCGCTCCTCACCAAGCTCAAAAGCATTGCCTGCCATCACCATCGCCATCACCATCACCGTCACCATCACCATCCCCATCCCCATCCCCATCCCCATCCCCATCCCCATCACCATCCCCATCATCAACCCTCCCATCATCCCCCTCCTCTGTGCCAAAGTACCTGTCTCCGAACTCCCCCATCCCTGTCTCCGAACTCCCCCATCCCAGGCACAACTCTCAACTCCTCCTCAATCCCCGCAACAACCTCCCACCCCTCCCCACACATCAAGACGCCTCAAAAGCGTCACCATCACCATCCCTCTCATCATCCCTCCCAGCATCCCCCTCCTCTGTACCAAAGTACCGGTCCCCAAACTCCCCCATTCCTGGCACCACTCTGTACTCCTCGTTAATCCCCGAGTCGATTTCCGATGTCACGATCTTGAGGTGGGGGAAGCGGCGGCACACGTTGTGAATGCCCTCCGGGGCCTGAAGGAGGGGTTGGGTGGGGCACAGTAACAGGTAGAGGCGAGCAATGGATGGGCGGCGAGGGAAAAAAGACACAGGGATCGCAAGGTGAGGGAGGTGCTGACACCACTCTGCACTCCTCATTACTCCCCACGCCAAACCCCCACCCCTACCCTGCTCGATACTCCTCATTAAACCCCGAATCGATCTCCGATGTCACTATCTTGAGGTGGGGGAAGCGGCGGCAACGTGCAGCGAGGTTGTTTTTGAGACGTCTCAAAACCATTGTGAATGCCCTCAGGGGGCTGGGGGAGGGAAGGATGGGTGGGTGCAGGGAAGGCAGGAGAAAGAACAAAGATGAGTATGGACCTTGAGGTGGCGGAAGCGGCGGCACACATTGTGAATGCCCTCCGGGGGCTGGGGGAGGGAAGGATGGGTGGGTGCAGGGAAGGCAGGAGAAAGAACAAAGATGAGTATGGACCTTGAGGTGGCGGAAGCGGCGGCACACATTGTGAATGCCCTCCGGGGGCTGGGGGAGGGAAGGATGGGTGGGTGCAGGGAAGGCAGGAGAAAGAACAAAGATGAGTATGGACCTTGAGGTGGCGGAAGCGGCGGCACACATTGTGAATGCCCTCCGGGGGCTGGGGGAGGGAAGGATGGGTGGGTGCAGGGAAGGCAGGAGAAAGAACAGAGATGAGTATGGACCTTGAGGTGGCAGAAGCGGCGGCACACATTGTGAATGCCCTCCGGGGGCTGGGGGAGGGAAGGATGGGTGGGTGCAGGGAAGGCAGGAGAAAGAACAAAGATGAGTAAGGACCTTGAGGTGGCGGAAGCGGCGGCACACATTGTGAATGCCCTCCGGAGCCTTGGGGGGGGGGAGGAGTGGTGGGGTGTAGGGAATGGAAGGGGCGCGAAGAGGAGGCGAGCAATGGAAGGGCAGAGAAAGAACAAGACACAGGGACGCTGAGGTGGGGGAAGCGGCGGCACACATTGTGAATGCCCTCCGGTGCCTGGCGGGAGGATGGAGGTTTGCAACAGGCGAAGAAGGAGCAGAGAGAAGGGTGGGTGGGAGCAGGAAAGGTAAATGGGAAGGCATGGCGATCTTGAGGTGGTGGAAGCACCGACACACTTTGTGAATGCCCTCTGGGGCCTGGGGGAGGGAAGGATGGGTGTGAAGGAGCATGGGGGGAAAGGTAAGGTGAAAGATGGAACATGGAAATGAACTAATGAGGTGGTGGAAGCACCGACACACTTTGTGAATGCCCTCAGGGGCCTGGGGGAGGGAGGTTAGAGCAGGGAAGATAGAAAGGGAGCAGGGGTAAGGAATGTCCAAGATGATAACCCTCTTCACCACTAATTACCGCTCTGTAATTCGCTTATTACACTCACTGGTGAGGTTGAAGAACATGCTTTGCTCGTCACGCACCCCTGCTTGCAGCAGCTGTGGTGAGCAAGAACCCAACTGGTTGTTCTCTTCACCACCAAGTACCGTTCTTAATCCCTTGAAGTCATGAGCTCACCGAGATGAGGTTGAGGAAAATGGTTTGCTCGTCAGGCACCCTTCTGTTGCAGCAGCAGCTCGGATGAAGAATAACCCAGCTGATAATATCCTGCACCACTAAATACCGCTCTGCGCTCCTCATAAACTCACTGGAATGAGTTGAGGAATATGATTCTGCCCCCCTTCTAATCATGAACTTACCGAGATGAGGTTGAGGAAGATGATTCGCTCCTCAGGCACCCCTCGGTGCAGCAGCAGCTCGATAGCCTTGATGGCAGAGCGGCCTGGAGGGGAGAGCGAATAGGGGGAATAGGAGAATAAGGGGGATCGGAATCAAGGCAAAGGATGCGGAGCGTAAGCATGAAGGTTCAGTCCCATCTCTACCACCCCTCGGTGCAACAGCAGCTCGATAGCCTTCATGGCAGAGCGGCCTGATGGAGAGGGGTGAAATCAAGGCAGAAGGCCAAGCAAAGCAGCACTTTAATAAGATCGAAGGGCAGTGTATAGGTCACTTGATTGGCAGTAAGCTGTAAGTAGTAACGAGTAAGCACTAAATAGGAACTAGTAAGCAGTAAGTAGTAAGTAGTACCGGGATAAGGGTGCTTATCTGAGGAGAGCACCGGGCCCAGCAGCATCACGTGCCAGGCGAGGAGGGAGGGGGGTAAAGCCTCACCTGACGCCAGCACAGGGTCGAGCAGCATGACATGCCTCTGGGCGATGTCCCGGGGGAGCTTCTCGTATATCAGCTGGCGGGGATGGAAAGGGGGAAGAGGAGGGGTAGAGAGAATGGGGAGCAAGGAGGGAAGGTAAGATAAACAAGGTGAAAGAATGCCTCTGTGAGATGATGTCTCGGGGGGGCTTCTCGTGTATGAGCTGGCGGAAGATTGCAGAAAGGGGATGGGGGAGGTGGAGTATGGGGAGTGAGGGAGCAAAGATGTGAGGAAGGGGGAGAAAGAATGCCTCTGGGCGATGTCCCTGGGGAATTCTTGTGTATGAGCTGGTGGGGAAGGGAGAAGGGGAGGCGAAGGGGGAGAGGGAGCATGAGCAGCAAGGGAGAAAGCGACACACATAATGCACTTATAGCACACACATGTCGAAGTGGAATAAACTAGGAGCTGCGATGAGCAAAGAGCAAAGATGCCTCACCCCCTGACTTTTTAGTCGACTCAAAAGTTGACTTCTGACTTTTCGAGTCGACTCAAAATTCAGAGAGGGAAGATGCCTCACCTGCTTCCCAAGCCCATTTTAAAAGTGAGGTTTGTTGCTAAATGGGTTTAGGACATTTGAGATGGGAATGGTCTGTCTGTCAATTTCTGTACACACATGCTGAATGGCTTGTACAGAAGGCAAAGAAGCCTCACCTGCTTGCCAAAGTCGCCATCCCTGTGGATGGATGGGTGTTCTGCCCATCTTCACTCCCTTTCAGCACAGGGGCGAGGCAAGGTGAGATCACACTAATGCTTAAGAGAATGCACATACAATGCAAAATGCACAGTGCGCACACACACATCATAGAAGGCAAAGAAGCCTCACCTGCTTGCCAAAGTCGCCATCCCTGTGGATGGGTGTTCTGTCCATCTTCACTCCCTTCAAAATTGCCACCGATTCGGAACGATTCACGTCAGCATCAACATGTTATGCAGAAGGCACCACCGGTGTATGCATGCATATGCATACAAACGAGAGCAGGGAAACAGAGAGGAGAGAGAGGGAGGGAGTTTTAGGGGTGGTTTGCGCCTCACCTGCTTGCTGTAGGCACCCCTCCTGTGCAGCATGAAAAAACAAACGAGTGATGCACACACGCATGCACCCACACACATACTCGACAAGATTGAAAATCCAATCCTTACCTGCTTGCCATAGTCCCCCTCTCTGTGAATCAATATCTTCCCAATCTTCACTCCCTTGCAGCATGCTCTTAACGCATTCTCCATGCTCTCGCCACTGCCGTGCCATGGGATGAAAGAAGGGGGGTACAAGGAGGGGCACAAGTAGAGATGGTTTCATTCAGATACGCCCAATAGGGAGGGTGTATGGGACAGGGGATCTTCATGTTTTGAGACGTCTCAAAAAGAAGCGAGTTTTCGAGTTTTGAGACGTCTCAAAACTCGGGCAGAAGCAGACATGGTTTCATTCAGATACGCCCAATAGGAAGGGTGTATGGGACAGACAGAGGATCTTCATTCCCCTGAAGCACGATCGTCCTACATGCGCTTGCCAGTGCAAAGGGAGGATGGGGCAAACATAGCGAGTCTATTTTTGAGTCGACTCAAACATAGACTCACTACACGCGTGGGGCAAAAATAGACACATATGCACAAGGGACGAGAAACACAAAGCATGCCTCGCATCCCACACACACACACACCCCGTACGCCATACCTTTGAAAAGTGGACACTCCACAGAGAAATCATAAACACAGACACAATCACATACTTCAGCATAGGGTTGAGCAAAAACACAGGCGAACCGAACAGGTATTTTTTTTTGGCTTAAAATGTTCGCCGAACAGTGTTCGATGTTCGCCCGAACACGTTCGTGTTCGGGCCGCTGCTGCAATTTGCCCGCGACGAACACGAACAGTGTTCGAGGTTCGCCCGAACACGCCTTCACAGGCGAACGGCGAACACCATTTTTTGCTCAAAGTGTTCGCCGAACCGAACAGTGTTAGGTTCGGCAAACGAAGGTGTTCGTGTAGGGGCGCGCCACTTGCTCATCCCTACTTCAGCATAACGAAAAATGCCTAACACCCCACACTCCCTATACAAGTAGGAAATACCTACCTGCGAATTATGGACACTCCGCATAGCTTCTTGCTAAAGTTGATACCCACATATGTTGAGCCTGCATGTGGATAGGGAGGGGAAGGTTGGGAAGAGAATGGGACGGCAAGACCTAGCCTACACCTAAGATGTAAGAGCTGCTCCTATGGTGTCTCTTCCCGAAATGCCCAGGAATATCTCAAAGCTGTAGGGGCGGTCACTTCAATTGCACTGAGACAAAGGCGTTTGAAAAGTGGGGTGGGTTGAAATAGAAGGCGAGTAGGTGCAGCTGTGACAATTCGGTGCCGTTTGAGTCGACTAGGGACTTTTGAGTTGACTAGGGACTTTTGAGTCGACTAAGGACTTTTGAGTCGACTAGGGACTTTTGAGTCGGCTAAGGACTTTTGAGTCGACTAGGTGACTTTTGAGTCGACTAAGGACTTTTGAGTCGACTAGGTGACTTTTGAGTCAACTTAAAGGTCACCTCGGTTGAAAAGTGGGGTGGGTTGAAATAGAAGGCGAGTAGGTGCAGCTGTGACAATTCGGTGCCGTTTGAGTCGACTAGGGACTTTTGAGTCGACTAGGGACTTTTGAGTCGACTAGGGACTTTGAGTCGACTAGGGACTTTGAGTCGACTAGGGACTTTTGAGTCGACTAAGGACTTTTGAGTCGACTAGGTGACTTTTGAGTCGACTAGGGACTTTTGAGTCGACTAGGGACTTTTGAGTCGACTAGGGACATTTGAGTTGACTAGGGACTTTTGAGTCGACTAAGGACTTTTGAGTCGGCTAAGGACTTTTGAGTCGACTAGGGACTTTTGAGTCGACTTAGGACTTTTGAGTCGACTAGGTGACTTTTGAGTCGGCTAAGGACTTTTGAGTCGACTAGGTGACTTTTGAGTCGACTAAGGACTTTTGAGTCGACTAGGTGACTTTTGAGTCAACTTAAAGGTCACCTCGGTTGAAAAGTGGGGTGGGTTGAAATAGAAGGCGAGTAGGTGCAGCTGTGACAATTCGGTGCCGTTTGAGTCGACTAGGGACTTTTGAGTCGACTAGGGACTTTTGAGTCGACTAGGGACTTTTGAGTCGACTAAGGACTTTGAGTCGACTAGGGACTTTTGAGTCGACTAAGGACTTTTGAGTCGACTAGGTGACTTTTGAGTCGACTAGGGACTTTTGAGTCGACTAGGTGACTTTTGAGTCGACTAGGGACTTTTGAGTCGACTAGGGACTTTTGAGTCGACTAAGGACTTTTGAGTCGGCTAAGGACTTTTGAGTCGACTAAGGACTTTTGAGTCGACTAGGTGACTTTTGAGTCGGCTAAGGACTTTTGAGTCGACTAGGTGACTTTTGAGTCGACTAAGGACTTTTGAGTCGACTAGGTGACTTTTGAGTCGACTAAGGACTTTTGAGTCGACTAAGGACTTTTGAGTCGACTAGGGACTTTTGAGTCGACTTAAAAGTCACCTTGGTTGAAAAGTGGGGTGGGTTGAAACAGAGGGCGAGTAGGTGCAGCTGTGACAATCCAGTGCTACTCACCCGTCGGGGTGGTGACTTGAATTTCAGTGAAAGGAAGGTGGCCCAACCCATGCTCCACGAGCTGTTGGTGGTAGGTGGAAGAGGGGGGGATGATGACTCAACCCGCGCTCCACAATCCTGATTTTGTGAGGAGGTTTACCTGTGGGGGTGGTGACTTGAATTTCAGTGAAAGGAAGGTGGCCTAGCCCATGCTCCACGAGCTGATGGTGGTGATGGGGGGGAGGAAGCGAAAGAGGAAGGAAAGAGGACGGGAAGTGGAGGAAAAGAGGAGGGAAAGAGGAAGGAAAGTGGAGGGGAAGAGGAGGGGAAGAAGAGGCGAAGAGGAGGGGAGGAGGAGGCGAAGAGGAGGGGAAGAGGAGGGGAGGAGGTGGAAAGCAAATATGAGACTATTGGAATTGTGAAAGGGAAGCAGGCCAGCCCATGCTCCACCAGCATATGGGAGTGATTGGGAAGAAGAAGAAGGGGACGAGGAGAGAAAGACGAGGGGAAGTGGAGGAAAGAGAGGAGGGAAGAGGAGAACAAGGAGGGAAAAAAACTTGAGACCATGGGAGAAAAATGACTGTGACAGGGAGGTGGCACAAAAACCTCTTGTGAGCATTGAGAATTCTTAAAAGTAACAGCTCCATGACACGTGGACCCCAAAGGGACGTCCGAGGCGAATGCAATTTACGAGGCGAATCAGACGGTCGGCATAGAAGACAAAGTTGTGCTTCTTGGTGGCATGGATGAGATGAGAGAGAGCATGAGATGGGTGGTGTGCGGTGTGGAGTGGCATGGGTGAGTGAGTGCATTGCCTGTAACGAAAAGACTAGAGAGAGAGGGACTCACGAGGCGAATGAGGCGGTCGGCGTAAAAGACAAAGTTGTGCTTCTTCGTGTCCCTGTTGCGAATGAGGGTGTGCATACCCCGCACCTGGTGGCATTAAAGAGACGGGGTTGCGGGGGGGGAATAGCAGCAGAGGGAATGAAGCATGTAAAAGACAAAGTTGTGCTTCTTCGTGTCCCTGTTGCGAATGAGGGTGTGCATACCCCGCACCTGGTGGCATTAGAGAGACGGGGTTGCGGGGGGGGAATAGCAGCAGAGGGAATGAAGCATGTAAAAGACAAAGTTGTGCTTCTTCGTGTCCCTGTTGCGAATGAGGGTGTGCATACCCCGCACCTGGTGGCATTAGAGAGACGGGGTTGCAGGGGGGGGAATAGCGGCAGAGGGAATGCGGCATGTAAAAGACAAAGTTGTGCTTCTTGGTGTCCCTGTTGCGAATGAGGGTGTGCATACCCCGCACCTGGTGGCATTAGAGAGACGGGGTTGCGGGGGGGGGGAATAGCGGCAGAGGGAATGCGGCATGTAACAGACGGAGTTGTGCTTCTTGGTGTCCCTGTTTCGGATGAGCGTGTGCATGCCCCGCACCTGGTGGGGATTGTGGGAAAGGAATAGGGGGAATAACTCTTGAGGCGACTGTAAAGGCTTCTTGGTGTCCCTGTTTCGGATGAGTGTGTGCATACCCCGCACCTGGTGGCATAAGAGAGGGGTGGTTGATGGGGAGAGAGGGGCAGAGGGAATGAGGCATGGAGAAGACGAGTGTTTCTTGGAGTCCCTGTTTCGGATGAGCGTGTGCATACCCCGCACCTGGTGGCATTAGAGAGCAGCGGGGTGAGGAAATGGAGACGGGTAGGGGGAGATAAATGTAGAATGTGGATGAGCCAGACAGGAAAGGTATACATGTTGTGCTTTCATTCCCACAGAAGAGTGCCCTTTGTTGCGGATGAGCGTGGTGTGCATGAGATGAGAGGGACAGGGGGAGGGAATGAGGGAAAAGGGGAGAAAGTGGAATTCGGATGAGGCACGCAGGAGGAGACAAGCACTTTGCGCTGCTTGGTTAGCTTGTTGAATGAGAGTGTACCACACCGCACCACACCACACACCTGGAAGGTTGACTCTATAACGTGTACGCTGCTGTAAATCTTCCTCGGATCATGTTGCCTGAGCTTGGACCCTATATGCTGCACTATCAGGTTCACTGCCACGTGGTTGTTACCGCACCGCACCGCACCACACCAAAGTGCACCACACCTCACCGCACTGCACCGCACCACACTGCACCACACACCTGAAACGTTGACTCTATAACGTGTACGTTGCTGTAGATCTTCCTCAGGTCATGCTGCCCCAGCTTCGACCCTATATGCTGCACTATCAGGTTCACTGCCACGTGGTTGTCTCCTCCCCTGGGAATGATTATGTCAGCAAACTTCTTTGAGGGCAGCACGAAATCATCGAAGGCTGGTTTGACAAAACGAGCGTACTGGATTGGAGTAAAGGAAGGGGATGGACGAAAGGTAGGGAAGAGAAAGGGAAGAGAAGGGAAGGAGCGGGATGGGATGGCAGGGAAATGATGATCTGTGTTCTGAATCTGCACCAAATTTTCTTTGAGCTAAGCAAGGAAATCATCAGAAAGCTGGCTTTAAAGGCGGAGGGAGCATACAGGGTGAAAGGGGAGGGATGGATAGGGATGGAAGCGTAGGGATGGGAAAAAAAGGGAAGGAGAAGGAAAGGAACAGGAAAGAAATGGAAGGAATGGGAAAAAATTGAAAGTACAGGGAAGAAAAAAGGAAGGCAGGACAGGATGGAGGGGAAACGGAGTGCAAGGGTATATAAAGCCTGGGTTCACAAAGCAAGCATACTGGAATGCAGGGAATGGAAGTGGAAATCACACCTGATCAATATCCCTCGTGATAATCACACGCACCTGGTCAATCACCCCTTGCACGTCGATCTGCAGGGACACGCGGATTGGACCAAGGACTTGGAGGATCTCCTTGAGAACACGAGCGATCGGCTGCCGTGTCTGTGGGAGCTCAACATCAACGACTGCAGACGTTTCACGGAACAACCCGAGCAGGTCACCTCCTTGACCTGCCTCCGCAGCTTGAAGCTCTCCAGCTGCACATTCGATGGACTGCCTGACAGCCTCTCGGGGACATGCCCGACCTGAACTGAAAACGCTCCTGCTGGACGAGCTCGATCTTGATGCGAGATTCGTTAACTCATGCAGCCGCCTCAAGTCCCTAAAGACGCTGGTCATTACACACTGACGTCTCTAGTCGAGCTACCGCACCCGTTAGGCGCTCTCACTGCACTTAAGACCCTCTGCCTCAACGATTTTCCCTTGCTCACTCTTCCTAACGGCATTGGAGAGCTCCTCAACCTCCAATCTCAACAGGAAGAGTGAGCAAGAGAGAACCTTCGAGGCAAAGGGTCGTGAGTGCAGTGAAAGTGCCCGACGGGTGCGGTAGCTCGACTAGAGACATGCAGTGTGTAATGACCAGCATCTCTAGAGACTTGAGGAGGCTGCATGAGTCAAGACATCGAGGTCGAGCTCGTCGCGTTTTCAGGTTGGGCATGTTCTCAAGGTTGTCAGGCGTCCGACGAATGTGCAGCTGGAGAGCCTCAAGCTGCACAGACGAGTCAATGAGGTGAACTGCTCGGGTTGTGCCGAGAAACGTCCGCACTCGCTGATGATGAGCTCCCGCAGACATGAGAGCGGATTGTTCATGTTCTCAGATGTATCCTCTAAGCCATCGCTCCAGTGTGTCGCTGCCGACTTCCTGGCCAATCGCGCGTCACCATCTGTTTGTGTCTCCGAATATGGTCGCGTGCGATAATCAGGTCAATCAGTAAACCACCCCTTGGTGGAATATTCAAGATCCTTCTGTTACAATAAGACCTGGTGAACCCCCCCCCCCCCCCCCCCCCCCCCTACAACCACACTCGATCAATCGGAACTCTTTATAGTCACACCTAAACCCGTTATAATCACACCTAATCTCATACAATCACACCTGGTCAATCACCCTTTGCACGCCGTGCCTCGCTAGTCACACATTCGAGATCTACTCCCTCCGACTAGGCTGATCACCCCTTGTTGTATGATATATATTTTTTTATTACACTTGATCAATCACCATTCGTTAAAGTCACACCCCTTGTTGTAACCACACACACACCTGGTCAATCACCCCTTGCACGTCGCGCCCTCGCTCCAGCGTGTCCCTGCGGATCCTCCTGGCCAATCGCACGTCGGCATCTGTATCCACAAATATCTTCATGTTCATCAGTGCTCGCACCCTCGCATCGTGGAACACTAGGATGCCCTCGAGAACAATGACGTCAGCAGAGTTGGTCTGATGTGTGTGTTTCAGTGGAGGGTAAGGGTGGGGGAAGAAGGGGAGGCAGGCGGGAAAGAGGGAGACAGGAAGGGAAGAGGGGGGGTTTGAGGGGTTTGGTGAGTATCCAGAGGCCTTATGTTATGTGTGCATGAGAGTGCATCTGTGTTCATGAGTTCATTTCATATGTGCACGTCGGCCTTTGTATCCATGTGGATCTTCATGTTTATCAGCACTCGCACCCTGGCATCATGGAACACCATAATGCCTTCGAGAGTGAAACCACGAAAGTACGCATACATACGCAAGCATGATCGTACGGTAACCTTTACCCACCACAGTAATCATTCCCCATCCACCCACCTTCCTCACAGCCGTGCTCCGTTGGTGTGTCTTGAAATCATACACGGGAATCTCCACTAATTGCCACTCCTTGAGAATGCCAAGGGAGGGTGAATGCACGGGAAAATAATGTCATATACCACACACCCACCCTCCTTCCTCACAGCCGTGCTCCGTTGGTGTGTCTTGAAATCATACACGGGAATCTCCACTAATTGCCACTCCTTGAGAATGCCAAGGGAGGGTGAATGCACGGGAAAATAATGTCATATACCACACACCCACCCTCCTTCCTCACAGCCGTGCTCCGTTGGTGTGTCTTGAAATCATACACGGGAATCTCCACTAATTGCCACTCCTTGAGAATGCCAAGGGAGGGTGAATGCACAGGAAAATAATGTCATATACCACACACCCACCCTCCTTCCACTCACGCACCTTCCTCACAGCCGTGCTCCGTTGGTGTGTCTTGAAATCATACATTGGGATCTCCACTGACTGGCCCTCCTTGAGATTGAAACCAGGGAGGGCACGCACGCACAAACACGGCCGTGCAACCACCTTCCCTCCATCCAAACACGCACCTTCCTCACGGCCGTGCTCCGTTGGTGTGTCTTGAAGTCATACACTGGGATCTCCACTGACTGGCCTTCCTTGAGAGCTACGATGGTTGAAAGCAGCGCATCCGTGTCAAAAGCGTCTGACAAGGTAAGGGGAGAGGGGAGGAGGGGAGGGATCAGGAGGGGAGGAGGGGAGGGATCAGGAAGGGGACAGACAGACATGGGGATTTCCACCGACCGACCCTCCTTAAGAGCAACAATGGTTGGAACTGGAAAGCAGTGCGTCCATGTCAAAGGCGTCTGAAGGGGGAAGGAGGGAGGAGGGGGAAGGGGGGGGTTTGAGAGGGTTCAGGAGTTGGAGGCGGGGGCAGAGGAAGGCGTATAGCACTGCAGGTATCCATCCATCCACCGGTTCTCCTTTGGAGCAATGAGGATGGGACAAAACGTGTTCGTATCAAATGCATCTGAGTGGGAGAAGGTGGGGGGGAGATGGCAAGAAGGGAGGACAGGGGAAGGAGGCGGGTGGGCACAATGGCAGGGCAGGGCAGCTTGCAAGATTATCCATCATTCCACTGATAGGGCCGCCGGCACTCCTTGAGAGCAACGGGGGTGGAAAGGAAAGCAAAGAATGTTCACCAGGAAACTGGTAGTGATGGTTGTGAGGCGTTCTTCAATTGGCGGTTACCAGGAAACAATTCACAGTGGTTTTAGGAAACCAGCAGTGGTGGCGGCGGTTACCAGGACGGTTGGATTTGAAGTAGGACAATCATGGTATGATTGAGCTCCTCCTCTGTCAAATTGCAATGGTAACCGCTCCGCAAGCAGCAACAAGTGGTAATCCAATGCAAACCCAACTGAGTGAGCCATGGTGACGGGCAAAACCATGATGATCACCATGGCTAACCATGGCACTTACCAGGATGATCAAAATTAAAGTCACTGGCATGCTTCAGCTCCTCCTCTGTCAACCCTCGGTAGAAGGAGTCCTGCCAGCAAGCAAGCACGGACGAAAGCAAGAAAACGCTTCAGAAGCATGCCTTTCCCCACATGCACGGTTTCTGAGGCGTCAGAGACCCCCTCACTGGCATGCTTCAGCTCCTCCTCTGTCAACCCCCGGTAGAAGGAGTCCTGCCAGCATGGAAGCACGGAGGGAGGCAAGTGAGAACACGCAGAGTTTCCAGCTTAGCGCACATGCTTATGCCCAGAAACACTCCTCTGACAACTCTCGGCAAAAGGATTCCTGTCTGTCAGCAAGCAAGCACGAAAGCAGAGAGTTTGAAGAGAACGCATGTCGCCTCGGAGGCTGCATGTGGTACAGTAGACGCCTCAAACCTCCTCATACAGTAGGGTTCGGTCGGGCACATGCACGCCATGGCGCGGCATGGAACTGCACTCCCCCATCTCACACCCCACCATACATCATCACATTGCACCACCTCTCATCTGATGCACCAGCACCACCCAGTGGTCGTGCAGCTGCTGAATGAATGACTGCTGACTTGACTCAACAACCACAGTCCACCTGTCTTTCCAATGCATCGCACACCACCGCATCTCACCTGGTGCACCAGCACCACCCGGTGGTCGTGCAGTTGTTGAATGATCTGCTCACACACTGTTGTCTTGCCCGATGCCGTTCCCCCTGACACGCCTGGAGTAAGAGGAGGGAAGGAGTGGGCGGCGGAACGAGGGTGGGGAGGAGGAGAGGCGGGCAGGGGGGCGAGGTGTGGTTGGGTGGGGCTGTACGTACAGAATAAGTTCACAGAGTATTTTTAAAGAATTCTCAAAAATACTCTTCACCCACCAATGTGGAGCGGTCGAGAGAGAAGGACGTGGAGCAATGTCGGGAGGAGAGGGGGAGAGGTCATGGGGAAGGGATCTCACCAATAAGGAACGGCTCCTTGCCGTGAGCTCCAATCAGAGAGGTCAGTGACGAGCGGTTGAGAGAGAAGGATGTTGAGTTAAGCAGGGAGGAGTGAGAGGCGGAGGCAGAGGAGGTGATGGTGGGGCGGATGGCGGGGGATTCGGAGAGAGAGGGGGAGGGGCAGGAGGCGGAAGACAAGGAGGGGCGGGCGGAGGGTGGGATGGGGAGTGCAGCGGCGGTGGGAGCAGGGGGGTGGCTGTCAATGGTGGGGTGGAGGCCTGAGATGTGCACCTGAGAGCTGGTCTGGAGGGAGAGAGGGATGGAGGGAGGGTAGGACACACATGCGAATGCGGCAATTGAGGTGCCTCAAAAGTGGGGTGGAGGCCTGAGATGTGCACATGAGCGCTGGTCTGGAGGGCGAAAGGACAGAAAAGGTGCACTTGGGAGCTCTGATACATGCACTTGGGAGCTGGTCTGGAGAGAGGGAGGGCAACAAAAACAGCGGCTTGATTTGACTTGATGTCAGTAGTGGGTGTAATTTGGGTGGGAAGGAAGAAGAGGCCGCAGGTTGCCTGAACGCCTAGCCAGCGGCAGAACAGCGCAGTGAAACCAGCAGCGCGCCGAGCTACTCGCCTCGAGGGTTTTCTCGAGATCCTCTAGAGCGTTGGCCATGCTGCTCCGAACTGCACCGGACTGCACCGGACGGCTTCCCGCAAACCAATTAGCTGCCTCCTGGTTCGAATCAAGAAGCCACCTTGAAGGGATACCGGCTAAAGCTGCTATCTGATGCGGTTGTTTGCTGGTTCCCTAGCCTAAGTGGTGCTAAAGCGTTTTATCCTGCTCACACGCTCTATCCTAAATCAATTATGAAGCCCTTAACCTTAGAATTTACTCTGAAAAAGGCTACCTCAGCTCATCATACGTCCATCGTCGTTTACTCGATTGCGGGTACGCCGAGGGATCTTAATCAGGCACAACCATATCCGAAATGTCGGATTTTCTGGTTTTCAGAATTCTCAGACGATACGTCAAGGGATTCTAACTAGGCACGACGATATAAGGAATGTCGAATTGTGTATGCACGATGCCGAGACGGTACTCGAATGTGAAGCGAGCACACGCCGAGAGCTGGATGACAAGCAAGGCCGATCACGCAGCTGGTCAGATTACAGAGGACTGGTAAGTGCCTGCGACCTGACGACTGGTAGTCGTGAAGTAGTAGGGGTAAATGCGACCTAGACGGAAGAGTTCCCGTAAGTGACTTCCCAATTATCCAAGTAATGCAAAAGCCTGCGAAAACAGCCTGGTTCCGCTGAGCTATTTTCGGCGGGTTCAAGCATCGCCGCATAAACGGCTGTTTGAACGGTTAGCCAGCTTCTGACGAGGGTCTGAAGCAATAAATTACAGTATTGTGGTTCCTTATTGTGGTCTGATGAGATGTTTTGCGTGGTTGCGGTCGGTTCATCAAGAAACCAGAACGGTTGGGTAGAGTTTCAAGTCACAAGGATTTCACCTCGACGCGCGCTGAGGGGGCTAGCTAATCGAAGCGAGGTGTTGTGCTTAAATCGAGGCTTGAGAGAACAAAGTCACCACCCTCGCTTGAAGAGCTAAATCTCGAAATTGTCCGAATCATGAAAAGGGTACGTCTAACCAAACCTTGTACTTTCAAGGCTATATGTGGCGGGTCCCCGGATTCAGGGTGAGGTTCCCGTTGCCCAAGCCTTGCCTCCAGCGTGTAATCCAGTCACCTAGAGCCCAGGTTGGGCTCACTGAAGGGAATCCCATCTAGCCAAGACTGGCTCTCGTTTGCTGCTTCGTCAGGTCTACCTCGAGAGTAGGAAAACACATCAGCCACCATATCCCCAGCTTCGACAAGTTCTAAGGAGCTCCCCTAATATCCGCAGCTCTTCCTGCAACACAAGCACGGCGTGTACTTGCTTACCTCCAGACCGCAGGTCAGAAAGCGAATGGTGCTGCGTGTTTTTCGAATCTTTAGTACAGAATGAATGAGGAGCTGAGATTGTGAGATCCGTATATGAGCAGACTTTCGTAGTCCCTTGTCAGTTTATCCCTTGGGAAGGAAATCTTGTTTCAATCCTCATACATTTCTTAGCAGTCCTTGCTGTCGATCCGTGAAGTTCAGATGGAGCGTCTCGCACACATTAATCGACTCTCAGATGACCTTCTTACGAGGATTATAAGGTTCCAGAATAAATTGCCTTCACAAGGAGGTACTACACCGTGGTATTTGCTTCCGCGTTGGCATTTCAATGCAGATAAATTCACTCCTCCAGCCTTGGCAGATGCAGCAGTTAATCTGCTCATCGCATCCGTATGCAGTCGCTGGCGTCAACTCGTTAAGCGTCAGGTCACTAGTCTCTCAGTCCAAGAAAACCGCTTCGTATCTCGTCAAGATCTGGCGAACGTAGTGGCTTGTTTCGACAACCTCACCAATCTTCACTTGAGCGATGGCAGTGTCGAGATGATTGACGACCCTTTTCTCGCTCGGCTTGCCTCCTCACGTCCCAAGCTGAAGACCCTTCACGTCGGTCGCAGGATCGCACCGACGGAATGTGGAGGAAGCAAGGATGAGCACCCGGTTACTGAAGCCGGCCTGGACCATTTCTTCCTGAAGTGTACTCACCTGGAGGAGATTTCGCTTCACTGCCTCCATAAAGATACTGACTTGCCGGATTCTTTCTTTCAGCTACAGCATCTCCACACTGTTCTTCTAACCGACGTTTCAGCCTTGACACTTTCCAGATTTGCATCGCTATTATCTCTCACTTCTCTCCATATTGCTGTCTCAAAATTGACACGTCAACAACTGTCAAGCCTCGCTCGCATCTCAAGGCTCTCTATACTTTCGATTTCCAGTGAGATTTGCAAACCTAAGAACTCTTCACCATCTGCTGCAACTTTTGCATCTTCTCAGCTGCCTTACCTGAAGATGATCGAGTTCTCGGATTCGACCCCGAATATTACTTCGATGTTTCCTACACGATCACCGTGCATCCGTCTAGAAAAGCTGGTGATCACCAATTCCGCCAACCTCCAGCGACTCCCCGATGACTTTGGAGAGCTGTTGCCATGCCTCCGTGAGCTTACCATTCAGGATTGTTATAAGCTTGAGCAACTCCCCGCTAGCATCACTTCCCTGAGTGCATTGGAGCGCTTGTCCATTTTAGGCTGCAGCAAGCTTCACAGCCTTTCCAACGACTTCGGAGAGCTTCCGTCCCTTAAATCACTGATCCTGCACAACCTGTCTTGTTTAAATCCACCTGAATCCCTTTGCCAAGCTGTTTCTCTGGAGAGTCTTTCCCTGCATTACTGTGGCAAGATGCAGCTGCCAGCAGAGATTTGCAGTCTTACATCTCTCAAGACTCTGAGCCTCAAGCATATTGGGAAGATGGTGCTTCCAGATTGGATTGGATGCTTCAGTAACCTTGAGACTCTTCACTTAGAAATCTGCAAGCAGGAGCAGCTTCCCCCTTCAGTTTCCTCAATTGTTGATGTCTCTGAGTGTCTGTGCAATCTGACTAACCTGCAGCATCTCTGCATTCGGAACTGCTCTTCTCTCGTCGAGATTCCAGAATCTGTTACACGACTCACAAGGCTCACAGCCTTGATCATTGCGCGGTGTCAACAGCTTTCTGTGCTGCCAAGAAGGCTAAGCGGCCTTGGGGAGTTACAGAGGTTGGAGGTAACACGGTGTAAACGACTGTGTGAGTTTCCTATGTCACTGCCACTCTCCCTTGAGGTCCTGTTTTGGAACGACAATGGTCAGACATATATCCAGCCTTGCATTTACCACCTGTCTCGTTTAAGGCATTTGGAGCTGAGGTTGGCAGACAACGTTGAGTTTCCTATTCCCTTGAGCCCACTTTCTCAGCTCCAAGTCTTGAGTATCTGGCATGGTGAAAGGATTCGGACCCTTCCAGGAAGCATTGGCTCAGCATTGCAGCAGCTGCGAAAATTGCGAGTATGTCACTTTGAGGAGCTTAGGGAGCTGCCAGAAACGGTTTCACAGCTCCAACACCTGACATCGTTAAAGGTCCTTGCACCCAAGCTTACGTCGATCCCGGTTGGCATCGGTGCATTATCCAGGCTGCGTAAGCTGGATCTATCAGAGTGTTGGGCCCTGCAGAAGCTACCGTCTTCGCTCACGAAGCTTCGCTGCCTGCACCTACTTCGAGTTGACTGTACTTCTATCAGCTCCCTTCCTCCCAGGTTTGCAAAGCTGACCAGGCTGAGGACACTCAGCCTCTCTGACTGTGAGCAATTGAAGGCCTTGCCAGATGATTTGACCGAGCTGAAGCTGCTACAGGAGTTGGATGTTAAAGGGTGCAAGCAAGCGCTCGATGGCATGTCCCGTGCACTGCGCTGTGGCCTCCGGGCCATGCATGGGCTGACATTTGAAAGAAACTAGCCTGACAGGAACATAATGTTGATGGTGATCAAGTCAAGGGTCAAGTTTCATGTTGGTTGGCCATTGTATTATGTCCTTTAGAACCTATGTGGAGAGTATACTCATGTAAATCATTTGTGCAATGGATGTTGAAAGTCTTGGTAGGTTCGAGTTAGTATGAATTTGAGATAGTCCCATTTGATCCCAAGTTGGTGTAGTTGGGTAGGAGCTCTTGCTGGTCCTTTGGGAATGTTCTAGAGGAATCCTCCATACAGCCAAAAATAGCAAAAATTATGGCAGGATGTGCACCACACTTGACTGTACCAACTTGTCATTGTAGCTTCAACATGAATGTTCGCACTAGTCATGACAAAAAACGTCCAGCTATCAGTCAGCGTCTGAAGTTTCAGTGCCAGAATTCTCTCCTCGCTGAATCCTCCCTCAGGGTTTCTCCTTTTGAACTCAAATTCCCACACCCCGATGTACCCGTCCTAACCCCTCTCGACCACTCTGGTGCCGCTCTCAACCCCTTCGTTTCCAATCACTCTCTTCAACAGAACCAATGCTGACGACGACCTATTAAACCCCTCTCATATGGGCCTTCTGACTTCTGTATACCCCACCAAACCGCAAGCTTTTAGACCTAAGCCCTGAAAATTGACTCTTACCCCTCCCCCCTCCCGCCCCCCATTCCTGTTCCTTCCGTTTCAGTCACTTGAACAACACCTATACAAATGACCTCTCCTGGTGTGCTGGTGACTGGGGTGAGTGGTGAGTGGGATGAGAGGGGTGAGTGGGGTGAGTGGGGTGAGCGGGGTGTGTGAGGTGAGTGAGGTGAATGGGGTGTGTGGGTGAGTGGGGTGAATGGGATGAGTGGGGTGAGTGGGGTGAGTGGGTGAGTGGGGTGAGTGGGGTGAGTGGGGTGAGTGGGGTGAGTGGGGTGAGTGGGGTGAGTGGTGAGTGGGGTGAGTGGGGTGAGTAGGGTGAGTGGGTGAGTGGGGTGAGAAGGTTGAGTGGGCTGTTTGGGTGAGCAGGGTGTGTGGGGTGTTTGGGTGAGTGGGTTGAGTGAGCTGTGCGAGTCAATGCCCAAGGCGTGCCCTTCTCAGACTGGCATTTGGAGTTGACGCCACAGCGGATGTGCTGTTGCGGATGGAGAGAGCGGAGGAGAGGGTGAGTGGAGGAGGGGAGGAGCGGGAGGGAGTGAGCGGTGTTGGGAAAGAGGGAAGAAGAGAGTTGGAGAGAGGGAAGAGTTACAAGGGAACTCAAAGGAGCTATTCGCAGCAGCAGAGTGGCGTTTGGAGTTGCAGCCACAGCAGATGTGCTGCTGCTGGAGGGTATGGGTGTGTGGAGTGAGTGGGGTGGGGTGAATGGGCTGTTTGGGTGAGTGGGGTGAAAGGGGATGTTTAAGTGAGTGGGGTGAATAGGCTGTGTGGGTGAGTGGTATGAATGGCTGGTTGGGTGAGTGGTGTGTGGGGTGTGAGGTGTGGGGTGTGGCCCTGCCCTGATTTTGTGGCGTCCCAAGGCCGACACAGCACAGCTATGATGGGTGACCCAGCACAGAGGTATGATGGGTGACCCAGCACAGAGGTATGATGGGTGACCCAGCACAGAGCTATGATGGGTGACCCAGCACAGAGGTATGATGGGTGACCCAGCACAGAGCTATGATGGGTGGCCCAGCACAGTTTGTTCCCGCTTTGGCCTTCTGACAGCTCTGTGGAGCTGATGAGGTGAGGCTTGCCTCTGATGGAGGAGGGTGGAGTGGAGTGGTGTGGAGTGGAGTGGAGTGGAGTGGAGTGGAGTGGAGTGGAGTGGAGTGAAATGGAGTGGAGTGGTGTGGTTTGGAGTGGAGTGGAGTGGCTTGGAGTGGAGTGGGGTGGAGTGAATGCTCACTCCTTTTGCATGCTCAATCCCCTCTTAAACCCTCCCCATATTTTACTCACCCCCGCAACCTTACTTACCCCCGTAAGCTCTGCTCCTTTCTCTCAGGCTGCACGGGTGGCATGTGTATTAAACTGCGACCTCATCCCCGTTTCTCCACCTCTCTCCCACTCTCCTTCCGCCACTTTCTCTCTCCCTTCTTTCCTTCAAGCAGTAGCCAGAGCATCCCTCCCTTGGCCACAACTGCCACATCATGAGTCGGAGGTGGCAGCATCGCCCTGCCTGCTTCTCACCCTTCCAATCCTCCGCACCCCCCTCCAGCCTATCCCACTTTCTTCTACTGTTCCACTTTCACCTCCTCGTGTGCTCTTTCCTACTTTCTGAATGTACCAAGAGCAGCCGGCTTACCCAACTGGGACCCAGCAGCATTGCCCTGCCCACCTCTCACCCCTTCAACCCCCCCCAACCCCAACCCCCCCGTTCTCTCCCACTTCCTCCCAGTGCCCAGAGCAATCGGCCTGCCCCAACTGGGACCTGGCAGCGTCACCCTGCCAGCACAGCAGACTGGTGTTCAAAGGCCCTCTCCCTCCTCTGCCCTCCTCTCTCCTGGTGCCTTTTTCCGCGCCACCCTCCTCTTCGAGCAGTGCCTGGGGCAGTCCGCCTGCCCCAACTGGGACCTGGCAGTGTCGCCCTGCCGGCGCAGCAGACTGGTGTTCAGAGGCCCTCTCCCTCCTCTGCCCTCCTCTCTCCTGGTGCCTCTCTCTCCCCCACACCCTCCCCTTCAAGCAGTGCCCAGGGCACTCCGCCTGCCCCAACTGGGGCATGGCAGCGTCACCCCCCCTCTCTCTCCCACACCCTGCCTGTGCAGCAGCCTGGCGTTTTTGAGTTAGGGCCACAACAGATGCGCTGCTGTAGGTGGAGAGGATGGATGGAGAGTTGGTGAGTGGAAAAGGGGAATGGTGATGGTGAGTGGACAAGCAGTGGGGATGACAGATGTGCAAATAGGCCAAGTAAGTACCTGATGTTATCAAAGAGATGTTTACCCAGAACGAGTTTTGATTTCAATTTGTTCAGCTCTGTCCTTGATAGGAAATAGGGTACTCATTTATGTCTTTGTGATCCAGAAAATCCGTGCGATGTTTCTTTAACTCCCTAATGATCATCCCCACCCTACTCGTACTCTCTTCCTCCCAGGTCCGCTCCTTGTTTCCCCTCACCCCAAGCAGACAACACGAGAGTGTGCCCATTCCATCCCACCTCACTCTTCTCTCCCTCCCACTCACCTCTCCATCACCACCACAAATATTTCAGCTGCTGCCTCACCACTTCATTTCCTTCTTTGCTTTCCTTCTTCATCTCCTCTATGTGATGGAATCACAGTGCTTGCATCAGGTGAGGATACAACATGCAGGCATCAAAGCGGGTATAACGTGGTGGCTCTTCACTCAACGGGTTGTGCAGACTTCAAGATTTTCTGCATCTCTTTGGTTAGGGCAACCATGATCTGGCAAAATCTGTTGGACGGTAATCAATTGGGACATGTACGATTGGGACATGTCCAGAGCAGAATGTACCCTTATTAGTAGTAAGGTGGGATGATTGGAGGAAAGAACTCGATATCATCAATTCATGGTGCTATATCAATCATGGATGTGTGCTTGACTGCCCAGCATTTTGCCAAAGCATGGATGTTTATGAAAGAATCTAAACAGTTTGCATTTACGGAAATTGAACGTTTGTTCGAGAGAAACAGAGAGCGCAATAGCGAGTCTCATTTGTGAGTTCTGGGTGGGAACGGAATCCTCCAACTCCCTCATGAGTCCCTGCTAGCAGCTGATCACACAACTTGATTCCGTGCTCCAGTAGCCCAAGCCTTGTCAAGTGAATGTGTGTCCAGCGCGAAATCCAGTCAGATTATCCCAGCCTAGGCTCCCTGAAGATCCCTAAGAAGCGCTCGTGTGAGCTAATTCGTTGGATTTGGGCATGGTAGAACTCGGAAACACGTCAGCAATATGCCATAGCTTCAACACGGCGTAGGGACTCTCATTGAGATTGGAAGCTCATCCAGCAACGCAAGCACGGCGGGTTCCTTCGTCTCGTCACCTCAAGCTCACAAGTCAGCGTGGGTCGTGATCCGTGTTTCCGGGCATTTATCTTAGCGGTAACACTCATGGAGCTTGATCGCACGCGAGGTTAGCCATGTTTCCAAATCATAACAGAGATGTCTTCTCGTCGCCACCATGGTAACTAGCATTGCCGAGATGGTCAACATTATTGCCTGAATGGTAATGAACAGTGCATCTGGAAATCCTGGCTCGTAACTTAGCGTTCCAACCAAACTGTACACCGTACAAGTCAGGTTTGACTCAGCAAAACGAAACTGAAGTCCACGTATACACCCACAGAATGCGCAATTCTGTCTATAATACTGACGTTTACAATCCCAGACCGTAAAACCTCGAAATGCAAACTTATTGTCACCAGCATCATAGTTCAAGAGAACCTTATTGTATCTCTTCAAGATCTGGCGAACGCCCTGGCTTGTTTTGACAGCCTTACGAATCTCCACCTTAGTGACAGCAGTGTCGAGATGATTGAGAACGCTTTCCTCACTCGCCTTGCCTCCTCATGGCCAAATCTGAAAGCTCTTCACGTGGGCAGGATCGCACTGACGGAATGTGGAGGAAACAAGGATGAACATCCAGTTAGTGAAGCCGGTTTGAAGAATTTCTTCCTCAAGTGCACTCAGCTGGAGGAGATTACACTTCACTGCCTTCATAAAGATACTGAGTTGCCAGATTCCTTTTTCCAGCTGCAGCATCTCCACACAGTTTCTCTAACCAGCGTTTCAGCTGTGGCATTTTCCAGATTTCCAAGACTTTCGTCTCTCACGTCCCTCCATGTTAGTGTTTCCAAATTGACGCATCAGCAGTTGTCAAGCCTCGCGCGCATGCCAAGACTCTCCAGACTCTCATTTTCCAGTAAAGCCTGCCTCCCCAAGAATGATCCACCAGCTGCAATTTTTGCAGTAACTCAGCTACGTTGTCTCAAGACCCAGATTCCCAGTCTCAGCTTCACTTCAATGTTCCCGAGAAGATCACCGTGTACTCGCCTAGAACAGCTGGTGATCACCAACGCCACCAACCTCCGGCACATGTCTGATGACATCAGAGAGCTGTTGCCGTGCCTCCGTGAGCTTACCATTCGCGATTGTTCTCAGCTCAACCGACTCCCAGATAATATTACAACCCTAACAACATTGGAGTGCTTTTCCATTACTGGGTGCTCGCGGCTTCACAGCCTACCCGAGGGCTTTGGAGAGCTGCCTTCGCTCAAGTCACTGATTCTGACGAGAGTGTCTCACCGAGAGCTACCTGACTCGCTCTGCCAACTTTCATCCCTCAAAATTCTGAACCTAAAAAGCATCTGGCTGACGGTGCTTCCAGAGAGGATCAGATGGCTCAGCAACCTCGAGACTCTTCACCTGTATCATTGCACAAAGCAGCGGCTCTTCCCTTCCTTTGCTCAGCTGATTCCTCTGAAGAGTCTCGAGCTTGGCAGATGCGAATTGACAGTGCTTCCTGAGGGTTTGGACAATCTGAGTAACCTGCAGCATCTCTACATTCATGACTGTGATGTTTTCAGGGAGATACCGGATGTCATTACAGGGCTCACTAGCCTTGTAACCTTGATCGTCGAGGATTGTGAAAGGCTCTCTTTGCTGCCAAGAATGCTGAGTAGCCTCATGGAGCTGAAGTGTTTGAAGATAAGAAGGTGCAGGCATCTGTCTGGGTTCCCTGTGGCGTTGCCACTCGCCCTTGAGGTTCTGTCTTGGTACAGAAACAGTCGGGCTGATTCAGTGCCTCAGATTTCCCTGCCGTCTTGTCTGCAGCAGTTGGAGCTGGGGTTGGCAAACAACGTTCTTGAGTTTCCAATCTCCCTCGAATCTGTTTCTCAGCTCCACCTCTTGAGTATTTCTGATGCTGAGTCGCTTCAGACCCTCCCACGAAGCATCGGTTCGGCTTTGCAGCAGCTGCGTGACTTGCAATTACTCGACTTTGAAGAGCTTATGGAGCTACCAGAAACTTTCTCACAGCTCCAACACCTGACAGCGTTAGAGGTTGTTGCACCCAAGGTGACCTCAATCCCCTATGGATTTGGTGGATTATCCAGGCTGCGTGAGCTGGATCTGTCAGGATGTAAGGCCCTGCAGCAGCTACCATCTTCGCTCACGCAGCTTAGCTGCCTCTGCACGCTTAAAGTTGAGAGGACGTCCATCAGCTCTCTTCCTCCCAGGTTTGCTCAGTTGACCCGGCTGAGATGGCTCAGCCTGTTTGGCTGCGTGCAATTGAAGGCCTTGCCAGAGGAGTTGACTCAGCTGAAGGTGCTGCGGCACTTGAATGTCAAAGGGTGCAAGCAAGCGATTGAAGGCATGTCCCGTGCACTGTGTTGTGGTCTTCGGGACATGCATGGTCTGGAAATCAAGAAGTAGTACCGTAGCTTGACACGAACAGAGTGTGTGGTGATCAGAGTGACCTTGGGCAAGTGTCATGTTTCTTTTTCGGCTAGCCATTGTTAATGCGTTCTTCAGAGCATTTGTGGAGTGTGTACGGTACTTGTGCATAGATTGTGTAATGGATTCTTGGTAGATTTGAGTAGTGGTATATTCCAGAGAGATTCAATACAAGCTGATCCCAAGTTGGCTTATTTGGGAAAGGAGCTATGATATTGCTAGTCCCTCCCTCGGGCGTGCTCTAGGATCCTTATAGACAAAAAAAACAGCAAAACAATGGTAGAATGTGCACTACATCTGACCAGATTAATTGTCATTGTAGCTTCAACTTGAATGTTTGCACTATAGTCATCACAAAACGTCCAGCTATCAGTTGTCGTCTGTCTTTCCAATGCCAGAATTCTCTCCTCGCTGAATCCTCCCTCTGGGTTTTTCTTTCTAGACTCAAATTCCCATACCCCGCTGTACCCTTCCTAACCCTTCTCAACCACTCTGGTGCCGCTCTCAACCCCTTCGTTCCAGTCACTCTCTTTAACAGCACCAATGCTCACGACGACCTATTAAAACCATCTCGCATGGGCTGTCTGCCTTCTGTTCATACCCCACCAAACCCCGAGATAATACACCAAATTCCTAACCTGGCTCTTTCCCCTTCCTCCTCCCTCCCCCACGTTCTTGTTCCTTCCGTTTCAGTCACTCTCTTCAACGACAGCCATACAAATGCCTTCTCCTGGTGTGCTGGCGAGTGGGGTGAGTGGTGAGAGGGGTGAGTGGGATGAGTGGGATGAGTGGGATGAGTGGGGTGAGTGGGATGAGTGGGGTGAGTGGGATGAGTGGGGTGAGTGGGATGAGTGGGGTGAGTGGGGTGAATGCGGTGAGTGGGGTGAGTGGGGTGAGTGGAGGGAGTGGGGTGAGTGGATGGAGTGGGATGAGTGGAGGGAGTGTGGTGAGTGGGGTGAGTGGGTGAGTGGGGTGAGTGGGGTGAGTGGGGTGAGTGAGGTGAGTGAGGTGAGTGGGGTGAGTGGGATGAATGCGGTGAGTGGGGTGAGTGGGGTGAGTGGGGTGAGTGGGATGAGTGGGGTGAGTGGGGTGAGTGGGGTGAGTGGGGTGAGTGGGGTGAGTGGCGTGAGTGGGGTGAGAGGGGTGAGTGGGGTGAGTGGGGTGAGTGGGGTGAGTGGGGTAGGTGGGCTGTTTGGGTGAGTGGGGAGAGTGGGCTGTGCAGGCGAGTGGGGGTTGAGGTGGGTGGGCTGAGGGGGGTTTTGCCGGTTTTTCCCCCAGTATTTCCCGAAAGGCCAAGACTTACCAATACTGCCCCAGTTTTTCCTGAACAGCACCTCTCTGCCTTTCAGGAAATACTGATGGAGTGTCTAGTTTTGAGGCGCCTCAAAACTAGACAGCACCTCTCCACCTTTCAGAAAATACTGATGGAGAGGTGCTGCCAGAACAGTACCTCTCTGCCTTAAACTCACCCCTCCGCCTCCTTCTGGCTCACTTAATCCCCTCCCTAATCTCCTGTGCTGCCTTTAAACTATCCCCTCTCTGCCTCCTTCTGGCGACCTGCCATAAAGTGCCTCTCTCTCCTTCCCCAGCAAACCCTCCATCCTCCTCTCCCTCTCTTCCCTCCAGGCTGTAGCCAGGGATAGATAGAGGATGTGCTACTGGTGAGCGAGGAAGAGAATTCTACTGGCAGAAAAAGGTGGGAAGATGCAGTGATTGAGAACGGAGAACCCTCTTTAGAATATTTCGAGTTACTTTTGAGAGCTCCTATTGCCAGAAGGATGGGAAGAAGTGGGAATGAATGGATTAAAGAGATGAGGTGGAATTTGTGAAATTTGTGCAGACGCAAGCTCATTACACTCTTAATGCTGATCGTGTTCATCATC